GTGAAAACGATGGCATGTTGAAAAAAGAGATAGAGGAAAACATAAACAAATGGAAGAATGTACCATGTTCATGGATTGGTAGAATCAACATCATTAAAATGTCCATACTACCCAAAGCAATCTATAGATTCAATGCAATCCTTATTAAAATACCAATGGCATATTTCATAGACCTAGAACAAACACTCCAAAAATTTATATGGAACCAAAAAAGTCCATGAATAGCTGCATCAATCTTGAGAAAGAATGAAGTTGTAGGAATCACAATATCAGATATCAAGTCATACTACAAAACCACTGTACTCAAACAGCCTGGTACTGGCACAAGAACAGACATATAGATCAATGGAACAGATCAGAGAACCCAGAAATCGACCCAAGCCACTATGCTCAATTAATATTTGACAAAGGAGGCAAGATCATTCAGTTTTTAACACATAGGTTATTACTATAAAAATAGGTCTTAGTAGATGTTAGTAATTTATTTTTTGTACCCCCTATCCAGCCCTAAGATCTCCCAAACTTTTATTTGCCATTATAGTTAACTTTTTTCTTGTATTTTGAAATGTTACTTTTGTGGAACACATAAGTTATTACTATAAGAAACTTAAAAAATAGGTCTTAGTAGATGTTAGTAATTTGTTTTTGTACCTTCTATCCAGCCCTAAGATCTCCCAAACTTTTATTTGCTATTATATTTAACTTTTTTCTTGTATTTTGAAATGTTACTTTTGTGATATGTTATATTAAGCATTTCATGGAAAAATGATTCCAATGATTTCAAAATACATCATTGGATTTAATATCCTTTTAAATTATACTCAATTTTTCACTATCTAGAAAATTACAGAATAAACTATATTTACAGTCAACTACAGAATAAAATAAATAAAATAACTATATAACCTATAAATCTTGGGGGTGGGGATAATGCATGAGTGTAGTGGGTTGAATGGTGGCCCCCAAAAGATATGTCCATCTGAAACTTGTGAATGTCATTATATTTGTTAAAAGAATCTTTTGAAGAAGTAATTAGGTTAAGGCTCTTGAGATGTGATCATCCTGAATTAGAGTGGGCCCTAAATTTAATAGCCAGTGTCCTTAGAAGAGAAGACATAGGTAAGAAGGTCATGTGAAGTGGAGGTAGAAACTGAAATAATATGTCTACAAGCTGAGGAGCATGAAAGATTTTTTTCAGTGACCAAAACCTGAAAGAAGGAAGGAAAGATTCCTTGATGTCAGAGTTCTGGCTTCCAGAAATATGAGAGAATACATTTCTATTGTTTTAAGTGATCAAATTTGCAGTTATATAAAAATTAAGGCAGCCAAAGAAATGAATATTATGAGTAATTAAGTTACTTTTCTACTATAAGTATGTTTTATTATTATTATTTTTAAAAATTTACCTTTATTATTGAAGGTATTACAGATGTCCCCTTTACTTTTTTTTCCCCATCGACCCTTTCCATCCTGTACTCGCCCCTCCCAGGCCTTAACCACACTATTGTCTGTGACCATGGGCTATGCATAACCTATATAATAAAGAGGTAATATGCAAATTAACCCTCATGCCCTCACAAGATGGCTGCCTATGACCAGGCCAGCAGGGGGGTTAGTGAGGGATGACCAAACGACTGAATAAACAGGCTGCATGGGGCAACCAGGCCAGCAGGGGGGTTAGTGAGGGA